GCTGGGGGCAGAGGGTACAATGGGTATGTCCTGTTCCCTGGGGACCATTCATCTTTTCGGAGGGGGGGGGTAGTTCAGGAATGCTCCACCCACACAAGCATTTCTCAACTCCTCAGTTTCTTTTGCCTTCAAAGATGACTCCCCAGTACACACCCTCTACCACCCAGTGAACTCCCAACTCACACAGTTCCTCTTCTGCCACAAAATTCTTCCTGGCACCCAGTCTTCCTCGTGGCAGCTTCCCCAACACATAGAGCAGTGTCTGGCTTACAACAGGTACTCAATCAATGTCTGTTATGAATGAATAATTGGAAGCACACCACTTACTATAACCCTAGCTACTTGGCCCACCTGTAGAGATCCTGGGAAGTTGGGGGAGGGGAGCTCCGGCCTCCTTAATATAGGGGACTCAGGAACCCCAAGTCCCTGGGGGCCTGGCATCTGGAAACAGGAAATCCATGGTGGATTTTCACATCTCTGTGTGAACACAGTCCCTCCCTTCTTCTCTGGATCACCCATCCATCCTCAGCTCATCTGTTGCAAAGTCCTTAAATGTCCTAAAATGGCCAAAGTTATTCCCCATGCCTTCTCCTCCTAGTCCCAAGCCTTGTGCTGTGCACCAGACAAGGCACAGTCCCCTCTTCCCACCCCCCTCCACACCCAAGGAACTTAAGCTGATGCTCACTGCCCCTCCAAGAGTGAGGTAAGTCTGGCGATTGGGTTAAAGAAGTGTTGTGATCACTAGTTCCGGCTCCCATAGGTCAGTGTGCCTGTCCTGTCTGAACCAGGCATCTAGATTTTTCGTGGAAATGTCTACATTTTCATATTTATAACATTTCAAAAAATAAAATAACATTGGGCCAACCAAACAAAACCTCTCTGACAGCCTGTGACTGCCATTTGCAATCATCAAAGCAGAAGTGGCAGAGAGGAGGGCACTAAAGCAAGGAGTTGGGAATGGCAGGGCAAAGGCTCAGAGGCTGGGAGAAAGCCCAGTTGTGTCCAGGAGAGATGGAAAGAAAAGAACTTTGTGATGAAGACTCCCCACTTGTCCAGTGACAGCAAGCAGCCATATTTCAGCAAATAATTCCTGTGCATTCAGAGTCCCCACCCCTGCCCTCGCACCGGGAGCAGCAGGACACTCAAATTCTGGCCCCAGAAGAAGAGTTGGGACAAATACAGAGATATTTTTGCCATGAAGGCACGTGGATTGTGCCTATAGTTCCCAGAGGGCATTGACACACATCCCCCTGTGTGCAGCTCAGCACAGCCTAGGGCTTCTTCACTCTCATTTTCTTGATGAGATAACCCAGTCTCCATGGCATGGGACAACTACCACATTCACAAGCCAGTGGTAGCACCAACCCACAAAGCCAACTCCCAGCCCTGCACTCCATCCTCTGGCTCTAATGCACAGACAGACAATTCACACGTGAAAACCCACAGCATCTGTTGTGTTTCTAGATTCCAGGCTCCCCCTGGTTTGTCCAGCAACATTTGACACACTGCATTAATTCTTACTATGCGAAGTTGTGCGGTGCTTTGTGATCTAAATGAATCTCTAGCACCATTCGCTCTCACCAATCTCTGTTGTGTCTGTTCCCAAAATTGGTGTGTTGGTCTCCAGCAGGAAGGTAGGGAAACTTCAAGATCCAGGCCAGGAGGGCAGGATGGATGGGGGAGACCACTCAGCCATCCCACCTATAGGGTCTCATTCCTCAGTCTTTGCATACAAAGTACCATAGCCTCCAAACCAGTCCTCCATGTCACCTGTGGGGAAACTGACACCTGGGGAGGGGAAGAGGCTAGTCTGAGGCCCAAGGCCCTCCTGTCTGCTGTGCCTCCCCTCCCCTTGACTCCCCTCATCCTGTACAAATCCTGCCTGCCTGAGCCCCCTTTCCCAGGAGGTTGGGGGTTCAAGCACCCCACAGTCTAAAATGGGATGCTAATATATCTTGCTGAACCATCACTGCTGTTGCCTGTACTTTACAGATGGAGAAACTAAGGCACCAAGAGGCAAAGTCATTTGTCCAAAGTGACTCAGAGCTAGGATTTGAAACTACACCATCTCAGTCTAGACCCCACTTAAGTTCTGCTTGAGAAGAGGGCGATTGCGATGTCACGTTCACCATCACTGTCTCAGGTGCTTATGGGAGCCTCAGCATCTGAGGACCCGTCAGGCTTCTGTTCTGCATGTGTATTATTATGGGATTGCCCAGCAGTTCCCACCACAGGAACGGCCCCAGCAGACACCTCAACATAAGTATTCCCGTTTGCAGGCAGAGGCCGAGCACAGGCACACTGGCCTAGGTGGAAGGAAAGCTGTCTCTGCTTAGAAGGAACACAGGGCCAAGTGTGGCAGGACACTTGCTGTATAAAAATAAAATGATGCACTGACTGACCAAAAGAAGACCAGAACAAGGGAAGCATGGGTCTCCCCAGGGCCCAGTAGGCACAGGAAGCCATGCCCCCAGAGCAGTGTCTCTGCCATATACGTGAGTGCCAACCTCTGCTTCTGAGGCACACACATATCTGGGGAACTTGCCAGCTGGGGAGGCATAGCATAGGCAGGAGAAGGTAGATGCTGGCCCAGGACTGACTGGATTTAGCCAGATGGTGAAAGGCAAGGCTGCAAACATAGTCTGGAAGTTAGATGAAGGCCGGGGTGGAGTTTGGGACCCACAGACATCATTCCAAAGATAACAAGGTACTTCCCAGGATTGCCAAGCAGAACCGGGGTGGGATTTGTGAGGCAAGAGAATTATCTGGCAATGAAGAAATGATGGATTGGCAGAGGGTTCCCACTGCTCCATCTGGGCACATGACGAGGGCTGTACCTGGCTGTGTTCTCTGCCCAGGTCCAGGAGAGGAGTCACCTCCAGTGACAGCCAAGCACTGGCCGCCTGAGGTGCAAAGCACCTTATGCATGTGGCCACTGGGACATCTACTGTGTTCTCAGCCCTGTCCCGGGGTCTGCAACAGGGCTCGGCACTTCAGAGGTGTGCAATAAATGTTCACTGCCTGCATGAATCATATGCTATACTCACATCCACCCTGTGGGTGAGGTTCTACCACCACCCCTTAGCAGAAGGGGAAACCAGAGGCTCAGAGTTAGGGACAGTCGCCTGGAATTCAAAACCATGCAGAGCTTTCTGTGGAAAGCTCAGCATTCAAGTGCTGTGCTGTGCTCCTCGGGAGGCAAGAGGAAATGCAGAGCAAGGCTCACCTGAGCGGGATCTGCCTGGGGTCGGGTTGTATATTCACTCCCCATGGCTGTGGAACAAATACCCCAAACTGGGTGGCCTACAACAAAGGAAAGTTGTTATTTCACAGTTTAAAGGCCAGAAGTCAAAAATCAGGTGTTGGTAGGGCTAGGCTCTGTCCAAACTCTGGGAAGAATCCTTTCATTGCCTTTTTCTGCTCCTAGTGGCTCCTTGGCTTATGGCTGTCACTCCAGTCTCTGTCTCTGTTTTTACCTGCTGTCTTCCCTCCATGTCTGTGTTGCCTGTAAGGACAATCGTCTCTGGGTTGAGGGCCTGCCAGATGAGTTCCCTTAAGATCCTTGACTACAAAGACTGGTTTCCCAAACCTCTGAGGTCACACTCAGAGGTTCCGAGGCTTAGGACATGGCTATTCAGAGGTTCCAGGCTTATGATGGTCCGATTTAGGATTTTCCAAGTTTACGATGGTATAGAAGTGTACCATACAGCCATTCTGATTTCCACCGTCAGCACAGTATTCAATAAATTACAGGAGATATTCAAACTTTATTAGAAAAGAGGCTGTGTCACTATTTACAATAACCAAGCTTTGGAAATAGTCCAAATGCCCTGCAACTGATGAATGGATTAAGAAAATGTGGTATATATATACAATGAAGTTTGATTCAGCCATAAAGAAGAATGAAATTATGTTGTTTGCAGGTAAATGGATGGAACTGGAGACCGTCATGTTAAGCGAAGTAAGCCAGACTCAAAAGAGTCAAAGGTTGCATGTTTTCTCTCATATGTGGAGACCTAAAAGTTAAATGTATATATAGATACATATATGATCATATGAATATATATATATATATTCATCCACACATACATAGAGTGAGAGAACAAAGTTGTATTAGTGAGTCTGTCTGAGGAAAACTAGGAGGTGTAAGACATAAAAAAAATGTTAAAGAATGAAAAATACTGAAACGACCCATCTAACCATGAATATAATGTAATGCCTTGTACTGTAAGTTGTTAAGAGGTAGAGGGGCATGGTGACGAACAGTGAGTGAGTAACAGGGGGAGTGGGTTAATTTGGTGAAAGCAGAATATACACAGGCCTAAGTACCAAGGTGAAACCCCCTTGGGCTATCAGTATACGCTTTCAAAAAACTGAAAGGGAGGAGGGATAAATAGGTCTTTTCTACGGATGGGTACCAGTGGGAGGTGGGTGGGCACAAGGAAAGGGGGAATCAGTGTAAACATGGTGGATGTATTTTTATCCATATATGAAGTATGTTGAAATTGTTCTAAGAAAGGGAGGAGGGAGGAAAGGGGAACGATGGAGGGGGTAAATCTAACTAAGATATGTTGTAAGCACATACACAAATTTCACAGTGTATCCCCCTGTACAACTCTTATATACTAATAAAATTTTTAAACAAAAGAGGCTGTGTGTGAGATGGCTACCCAACTGGAGGCTGATGGCAGCACTCTGACCATGATTATGGTGGGCTCGGCTCACCTACAGTGTTCGTAGGTTAAGTCATCGTGAGTTTATGGGGACACGAACGCTGTGAGTCAGGAGTATTGATATCCTTGGAGGCCTCTGTTCAACCCACCACGTGGTGTCTCTGACATTTGACAGGAGCCCACTCAGAGCCCTATGTGTATGGAGCGTGAAGCTCCTGGGCCAGGTGCCTGGAAGTTTCCTCTTCTGTTCCCCCAACCACTCTGCAATTTCAGGGCCACATGCTTCTCTTCCAGACCCGGCCCAACCTCTCTGCATTCTGTCCACAGGTTTGCCGGGCACCGCTCCAGACCTGGAAAAGAGAAAGCAGATTTTTGGGCAAAACTTTATACCTCCAAAGAAGCCAAAAACCTTCCTGCAGCTTGTGTGGGAAGCGCTGCAGGACGTGACACTCATCATCCTGGAGATAGCGGCCATCATCTCCCTGGGCCTGTCCTTCTACCACCCACCTGGCGAGAGCAACGAAGGTAAGAGAGGCCTCAGAACCCCACTGCCCACCCTGTAGCAGGGACATGCGCCTGGCCACAGAGCCCACACAGATGGCACTCAGGGCTCAGGCTAGCACTCCTTCCAGGTGAGGAAACTGAGGACCTGGGATCAGTGCTCACCCACAGCCATGGAGGGGCCAAGCCAGGCCCAGGCTGAGAGCCCCCAGCTTTCCATTGTGAACTGAAAGGGTTAGACCCCTGGAATAACTGCAGTAACTGCAGAATGCACAGCAGGCACTGCCAGAGTGCCCAGTTCTGGGTTGAGTTATCTTCTTAACCACACATGAGACAGTGGGCTATGATTGTGCCCATTTTACAGATGAGGAAAACAAGGCACAGAGAAGGGAGTTAACTTGCTCCAGGCTACCCAGTATCTAAGCCTGTTTTGTTTTGCTGTCACAGAATACCAAAGGTTGAGTAACGTCTAAAGAACAGAAATCTGTTTCTCACAGGATTCTGGAGGGCAGGAAGTCCAATATCAAGGTGCCACATCTGGTAAAGGGCTCATGCTGCACCATGGCGTGGTGGAGAACATCCCATGGGAATGGACAAATGTCTCTGGACAAAGCCAGGCAGAGCCTGGAATCCAGAAACACAACAGAAGCCACGTGGGGCTGTGGGTTTTCACGTGTGAATTGTCTGTCTGTGCGTTATAGTCAGAGGATAAGCGCAGGGCTGGGAGTCGGGTTTGGAGGTTGGTTCTACCACTGGCTTGTGAATGTACTTGGGCCAGTTTCCCCATGCCTCAGAGACTGGGTCTTCCATCAGTAAGATGGGAGTGGTGCATGCAGGCTCGGGTCTCGTCCTCCTCTTAGAAAGCCACCGGTGCTGCCCTGAGGGCCCCATTCTTGGCCTCATCTAACCCTAGTTACCTCTCAGGTGCCCTGCCCCCAGAGACATCGACATGTGAGTGTGGACATTAAATTCTCCACACATGGACGCTGGGGGACACAGCACCCAATTGTAGAGTCCTAAAACGCGGTGCCAGGCCTCTCCCGAGACCGTCTTGTTTCCTGAATGTGGGAGCTGCAGGCAGGATTTGAACACGCTGCCAGGCCGAGGTGAGCCTGATTTCATGCAGGCTGACCACTAGGGCCCCTTGTCACATCCATGGACAAAACCCTCCCACCACTTGCCCCATAGGCCACAGACATGCTCTCTGATTGGACAGTGCTTCAGCCCATTCTTTGAGATCCCTGCTGGTCCCCACCCTCTGGGCACACTAGTCTCAAGGACCCCTCCAAAGCTGGGCTTCTTCTGGGACCCCCAGGTTACCCAGTCCCTAGAGGCGTGCAGAATGGCATCAGAGCTCTTGGCAGCTGAGGTCCCAGGTCAGGGACTGGCAAACTGTGGGCCACAGAGGGTCTAGACTGCCTTGTTCGTGTCTAGCCTGGGAGTTAAAATGGTTTTTGTACTTTTGAATGGCTGAAGAAAATCAAAAGAATAGTGTTTCATGCCATGCGAGTCTGATATGGAATTAATCTTTCATTGTACAAAAGTAAAGCTTTCTTGGAACCGTCCCATTTCTCTTTGCACGGTCTGCGCTGCCTTTGCTCTGCTGGCTGTGAGCCCCAACTGAGCCATGAGCCCTCAGCCTGAAGCTCTTCCTCACTGGCCTTTTCCAGGAAGGCCCCGCTCTGTCCTGGAAGAGCAAGATAGAGTTTTGCTTCCTAAGACTGTCTCCCTCTCTCCCTCTCTCTCTCAACTTCCCCTCCTTTTCCCTCCTCTTTTCCCTCTCCCTCTCTCCCTGCCAACCCCCCACCATAGTTTCCAAAGGCAGTCCCTGTGTTAAAATTCTGCCTGCCTCACATCCCAGCTGTGCGACTTTCCTTCTCTGATCCTCAGTTTGCTCCTCTACAACATAGGCAAGTGATCCTGTCCCAAGGGCTCCTATGAGGAGTTTAGCAAGTGTCCCAGTCCGGCACACAGAGGTTCCCTGTGTCTGCTCTTAGGGCCTGGCTGCTCCAGGCTTTTTTCTCAGGTCTTCGTCTCACACCACACCACTCAGGCACCGCTCTCCTTTTCCACAGTGCTGTCCCCAGCTGTGGTTCATGTAACACATGCGCGGATAAGGCCGAGGCTGAATACATTTCCCATGTGCAGAGTCTCAGTCTAGAGGGGCATCCCCAAATCTCTCCCTGGATTCTGAATGGGGATGCAACTCTGTGGGCAGGAATCACTATTTCACCTCCCAGGGAGGGCTCCAGAGCAAAGCCATTCTTCTCCAGTTCAGGACTTGGGACTACTGATGGGAACCTCGGCCTCCACTCCCTCTGTGGTCACTGCGCTCCTGCTGAGAGTGGGGCCACACCACCTCTATGACTGCTTCCTAATGGAACGAAGTCTTTAGACCTCCCTAATTCATGTCCCTTTAAGTTAAAAAACAAAACAAAATAAAACAAAAAAAAGAATTAGTGTACTGCAAAAGCCATACAAATTCACTGCAGAGAAAGTCTAAAGTGCCAGCAAAACAAAGGAGAAACATAAAATCACCCACATTCCTCGTGCCCAGAGAGAACCCATGGCTGCCTTATAGGTAAAGATACAGGTAGAGAGGGAAGGAAGGAGGTAGACAGACAGATAGAAGGGTGGCAAATAGATGATAAATAAGAGATAGATAGATAGAAAGACAGACAGATACACACACATACTTGGAATATATAAAATGCATTGTTTTGTTGTTAGATTGCTGTACAATCCATTTTTGAGCGATAAGATATTATAAGCGCTTTCCTTTGTCATTAACTATAATTAGGCATTGTAATGAGTGTTCTTCATAAACAAGTAAATCCTGCTACACTCGCTGCTTCAGACAAGCAGATACAAACTTAGCATATAAGAAATAACCATCATGTCCTCACTTTTTCCAAACAAAGAGGTAGAGATGGTCTCTGACGTCCTTTCAACATCTGTCACTCCCAAGCCAGAGTTGCCCAAGAAACTAGAAACCAACTGCTTCAGTCTTATTCACCATAATACCAAGTTGATTTTTCTTCCTGCATGTCCTCCTTCCACAGAGGATATAAAGACATAAGAGGGACAAATCTCACAAGATGATGTCAAATATCCAGGCAGAAAAAGAATGGAAGCAAATAAACCAGCTATTTATCATTGCTACCATAACTGAAATTTAAATTTGACTTGAGTTTCCTGGCAGCCAGGGCAGAAAGGGAATTCAAACGATTGGTATAGTTCAAGTTATCAATAAGAAAGATGACATTTCTGCTGACAGTGAATTCTGGGGTGCTCTTTCTCATAGGACATTATAAGAAATGCACAGTGGGCAGCTTTCTTTGCAGAAATTTTGTAGCAGATATAGAAGATGGTATAAAGTTAAATCAGCCTTGAACAAAGCTAAGGCTGCAACAAAATGCATAACGACAATAATACCACTTACTATTCTTATAGCCACCCCTACTTGGGAGCTGCCATGGTAGAAGTTCATTCCAGCCTCACTGAATCCACATAACAACCCTGTAGCCAGGCACTGTTATTTATTACCCAGCAAGCTGAGGCTCTGGGAGCGTAAGGGACTAGCTAAGGTCACAGAGCAAGAAGTAGCAGAAACGTGACTCAGACTGAGACCTTCTGGCTCCCTATTCTGATCCTTTGGTCACATTTCCTCTGAGAGGGCCAGGGATGAGTCACCCAGACATATGGCCTCGTGTGACCCACCAGAGCAGGACAGACTCTGAGGGCAGCTGGCAGAGGGTGAGGTGGAGCATGCTTACAGTTTCCTCATGTGAGAGCCCCCCACAGCTCCAGATAGGTGGTATAGTCACATCTATGTCCATGCAGAACCAAGGCCCAGGGAGGGGCAAGGCTGCCTGAGAACGCAAAGCTTACAGGTGGTAGGGCTGGATTTTAACCCTCAACCTGGTCCCCTACCTCTCCCTGCCCCTGGCCACACTCTGGGTGGAGAGTGGCTACCTACACTGCAGACCACAAGCCACATTCCTGGACCTTGTGGCAGACTCATCCCTTTTCCCCAAGCCTCAGACCTTCCGTGTTGCCGGGAGCCCCCACCCAAGTCACATTTGGGGTTCTCTGACCCCAGCAGCCCCCTCCAAAAGCAAAGCACACCCACAATCCTAAAGGCTCAGGGACAGACCAGGAAAGGTGGCAGGAGTGCTGGCAGTATCATTCTTTGCCCCAAAGCCACAAAAGAAGCCTGGCCTGCTCTGGGTCCCACTGGACTGGAAACCCCCACACTTAGGGCTCAGGGCTCTGGGCTCTGGGTTTGAGTTCCAGCTCTATTGCTTGCTGGGGTGGGGCTACCTTCTCCTATGTAAAACCAAGATAACCATGGCTACCAGCAAGAAAAGCCCTGGGAGAAGGCTCTGGGTGCTTTGTGCTCTCTGCAAGCCTGTATTCCATCTCCAGCATCACCAGCCAGGAGACTCTGGCTCAGAGACCTCTAGGCACCTGTCTGAGGTCACATAGCATATTCCTGGCCAGTGCTGAAGCGCAGCTGCCCTGTGCTGGAGTGACAACCAAGCAAGGCACACAGTAGGTGCTTCCTGAAGGCTTGTGGCTTGACCATCTCAATGGTCCTTATTGGATGTCAGGCCCTGGAAACCACATGGGAGGTGGAGCCCCATTTTCCTGATGCGAGCAAGCAGACTGCAGTTCAGAGGCTTCCCCAAGGTCACCCAGGCAATGAGAGGCTACATCCTTGAGCCCTGGTTCTAGATTATGGCCCCAGATTGGCCACAATCTCCAGAAACTGTCTCTGCCCAGTCCCAGGGACCCCCAAGGAGACTTCAGCAGCTGAAGTCCTGCAGCTCCTCAGCCATCCCAAGACACCATAGGACCCTCAGACAAGCTCTTGAGAGATAAAGCCAGTTTTTGCTGCAGAGTGAGACCCTCTAAGGCCCAGGGGACTCCTCAGTATCAAATAGCAAGGGCGGCCAGCAGGACTGGGAGCTGAGGATGGAAATGTCACTCAGCCCTGCACTCACAGAGGACAGTTTAGGGACAGGAGCTCCTGAAAAAGAGGAGGGGGTGTAACGGGGCATCTGCCCTGCACTCCCTGTGGGGGTGTCTCACAGGAAGGCTCCCTTAGTCCTTGGGGCTACCTTCTAAGACAGTGCCTGTCATCAACCCACTTCACCAGTGAGAAAACCGAGGTGCACGGTGAAATAGCAACACAGCAGTTTACAGCTGGGATTGGAACTCGGGGCTGGCCCAGTCGGTGCTCATCAGTACGATCACAGGCTGGTCCAATTAAACGGTTTAAAATTGTTAAAAAGATGTGCAACTCCCAAGGGGGAAAACAGCAGCTGCGTGAGCCCCTCACGATAATGTCATTTACTGGCAGGAAACAGCTGGTTCAGCCTGAGACCCCATATCTCCCAGGGGCACGTGCTGCTTGGCCACCATGAGCCTTCACCTTCCCAAGCCTGGACAAGACCCAGAGCCAGAAAACATTCTCCTTAGCCTTCTTGTCATGTTGCTTCTGACCCCCTAGCTTTCCAGAAGGTTCTGTTGGGGTTTCTTGAAACTGCTGTTCTCTCTTCCTTGGGATCAAATTGGTCAGTCATGAGTTTTTGGCAGACTTCCCATGGGAGGCCCACATATGGCAGAGGAGGCCTCTGGGCTCAGAGGAAGTGGACAGGCAAGGTCAGATTCCAGGCCTAGATCTGCTGTGTGACCCCAGGTGAATAGCTGCCCCTCTCTGAGCCACTTGCCTTCCCTCAGCCGGCTTGAGGATGGAAGCAGATGCTTGGCACACAGTAGGCCTTGCAAATGTCCCGTTGCCTGCCTAGTCCCGGGGAAGGGAGTACTCTGAGTTTTCTAGGTGTAGGTAGTGAGACCCTGCTCTGGGGCACTTACCACAAGGACAACCACTCTCCAGCCCCCAGTGGGAAAGGGCCTAATGGCCCACCCTACCCATGGCCACTCCTCTTTCTGGGCCTCTGGTTTTTCATCTGTAAATGGTGGGGGTGGGGCACCCCTAGCCCTCAGCATTACTAGGTGGTGAGAGAGAGGTTGGAAAGGCCTTGGGCTGAGTGACACTGGACAGGACGCACTTCTGGTCTGAGGCTCCAGACTGGATGTGCCTGGTGCTCTTCTTTTTCTCCTCACCCCTTGGGCCTGGCAGACCTCAAACAGTTGGGGACCGAGACAGGGTTACTCAGCAGTGTGGGATGTGTGATACTGGGTCCCTACGAAGTCACACAACAGCCTGCAGCTTGAATGCCAGTGAGCTTGCTGTGGCATGGGGCAGACATCCCAGTTCACACCCAACATGGGCTGAGAAAGAACCTCATGCATGCTAGCCATGGCCAGGAACTGTCACCTTCTGCCCTAAAGCCCCAGAAGGTGGCCTCAGCGATCCTCAGATCACACGGGTGCAGTGGCAGGACTGGAAGCAGCTTGCAAGAAGGCAAGTCAAAGCTGTATTTTCTGTCCCCCGACCCCTCCACCTGCTGACCCTGACACCTGGAGACCTACCTCACAGCTGCTGGAAGACAGAAAGAAAGGACGTAGATAAACCCGCAATTCAGACCCCAAAACACTTGCAGCATCAGCTGCTGTCATTCCTGTTCCAGCCTCTTCTTTTCTCAGTTCTTATGTATTAGGGCCCCCTCTCTGCCAGGCCTGTGCTACACAAGCCACAGACCTCATTTCATTACATTTTATTCTCCACATTAGTTCCTTGAGATAAAGAATGGGCTTCCCATTTTATAGATGAAAAACTGAGGCTCAGAGGAGGTAAGTCATTCATCCAAGAACTCACAGATAGGAAATAGAAGTAGCTAAGACAGTGGTCTCTGAAACCTGGGGTCACATCCTAGCTCCCTCTCTGCCCTTCCCAGGTTGGGAAGTTGCTGGACTGCTCTGAGAAGCCTCAACTTCCACATCTGTGAAATGGGCAGAGTGGCCACTGTGTGAGTTGGTGCGCTTGAAGCCCTTGTCCAGGTCTTGGCACCCAGATGTGCTGAATGGAAGCACCCTTGTCATCTGATCATCACCATTTGTTACTTGGCACTCCTGGGCTTTAAATCCAGGTGGTGAGGACCCGTCTGCCTGGGGACCCCACCCACCAGATTCATTGTTCTCTGCAGGATGTGCTACAGCCCAGGGTGGGGCAGAAGATGAAGGAGAGGCAGAAGCAGGCTGGATTGAGGGGGCTGCCATCCTCCTCTCTGTCATCTGTGTGGTCCTGGTCACGGCCTTCAATGACTGGAGCAAAGAGAAGCAGTTCCGGGGCCTGCAAAGCCGCATCGAGCAGGAGCAGAAGTTCACTGTGGTCCGGGCCAGCCAAGTGGTCCAGATCCCTGTGGCTGAGATTGTAGTTGGAGACATCGCCCAGATCAAATATGGCAAGTGTCACAGTCACAGTTTTAGAACTGGAGTCTGGGCAGAGGTGGACAGCCATGCAGATGATGAGAGCCTTGCCCAGGGAACAGGGTGGGTCCCTGAAGGCTGATTCCAAGCTAAAATGTGTTCTGAAGTCCTGTGGGTCCTGGAGGAGGTAGGATTCAGACAGCAAATACACATGCCACTTCACTCCTAACTTGACCCACAGCAGACATTACTAATCCATCACAGCAGCCTACAGCCTCAGAGGCCTCCCCAGTACAGTGTTCCAAGGACCACTGATACTCAGTGGGTTTATCAGGTGAGCCTCATGTCCCATCCCTGAGTTAGCTGTGGCTGGATGGTGTTAGGGGGACAGAATGTTCTGTGCCTGTGATATAACCAGCAAGAAAGCAGGCAGGCTAGCTCCAAAGGGGGTTTGGACTACATATGGTCTGGAAAAGTAGAGGCGGATGGTGGGGGAGAGATCGGAGTGCTCCACTCCCAGAGGACTTGATTGGCTGGGTGTCCTCAAACGACCCAAGACAGCATGGTCTCTTCCCAAACAATTTCCTTGAGCCATGACTGGGCCTAAAGAAGAGTGACTCACTGAGCTCACTGGACTCAGCTCCATGCCAGGCCAAGTAAGCATGTTATAAAGGACAGGCCTCCTGGGCTAGAGTTGCTATTGGACCCAGCACCAGCTCTCCAGGCCTGTGACAACCACTGTGGCCTGGGTCTTGAGCTGCCTACTGTCCTGCCACAGCTGCCATGTTGGTTCCCATACTCTGGGGGCCCTTGACCTCCAGGCCTCTCTGGACACCTGAAATTCTGCTAACTCCCCACTTCCTCCCACCAGGTGACCTCCTCCCTGCTGATGGCCTTTTCATCCAGGGCAACGACCTCAAAATTGATGAGAGCTCCCTGACGGGGGAGTCTGACCAGGTGCGCAAGTCCGTGGACAAGGACCCCATGCTGCTGTCAGGTGAGCAATGGCAGGTAGCAGCCCCACATGGGGGAGTGCCTGAGTGGCCCTGCATTATGAGGTGGGTGCAGCTGAGGCCTTGGTCAGGAGCTCTGGGAGGCTCAGCCCCCAGTGAGAACTCCAGCCCTTTTCCCCACCAAAACGTGCCCTGAACCTGCTGTTGCACTGAGCCAGGTGCTGGGCCCTGGGGCTACCTTGGTGCATAAAGCCAACAGAGCATCCCTGTCCAAGAACCGTGCCTTCTAGTGACTTGGTTTGCTGAACACACAGACCCTGAAGCTTTCTTAGCAAGGAGGAGAACGAATCTGTCAGGTGACAATTTTTTGGACACCTACTATCCATTAGACACTGAGGCAGATGCCAGGGCTACAGCAGTGGACAAGTCAGGTGAGGCCCACCCTAAGGAGCTTGTGGTGAAGTGAGGAGAAGAAGGCCACGAAGAAATGCTGGCAGTGATTGGTGTATGAAGAAAACAAACAGGGGAATGGGGTGGGGGATGGCTGGGGAGGCCATGTGTGAGGGGAAGGAGTGGCCTTGGGACTCCCAGAGGAAGACTATACCAGGCAGAGGAACCAGCAAAGGAAAGGGCCCAGAGGCAAGACTGCACTGGAGGGTCAGGAGCGAATGGAGAAGTGAAGTGGCCAGCTGCTGGGCCTCTGGACCACGGTCAGGACCTGGTCACATTTGCATTTTTACAGCTTATGCTGGCTGCTGCAGAGGACAAGAAAAGTGCCAGGGAGACATGCAGGACCAGGGACCAGCCAGGCACATCGCCCACCCTGCAGAGACAAGAGCCCTTACTGTCTGGCAGGGCTCAGTCAGCATGCTCTGAGCCTCTGCTCTGGGACTAGCACCAGGCTGAGCACCGAGACCCAACATACCATTCTCACCCAAGTGCCCTTGGGAGCACCCAGCCCAAGTGGTCTTGGGAGAGCAGACCTACAAACAACTAATGCCACAGTGGAGGAGCGAGAAGGTGTGCGAAGGGAGCAGAGTCCCCAAGGAAGGTGGTGTTGACCTGGGTTTTAGAGCCTGAGTAAGAGCTCACCAAGTCTGAGTGTTGAGAAAGGGCCTCCCAGCAAAGATAACCCAGCAGTCTGAAAGAGTGCAAAATATTCTAGAAATGCAAAGAGGAAGAGCCACAGGTCTGCAGGGTAGATGGTAAGGAAAACGGAAGATCAAGGCTAGGACATATATTTATCCCAAATTTACTCAACCTATGGTAATGGTTAGTGGGAAAACAAGGTTGCTGCTTTTTCTGAAGCTTAGAATCTAGCAAGCAGGTGAGGTAAAATGACTTCATATGAAAGCTCAGGTTGGAATGAGAAAAAGGCCCTGAGGGCAGGAGCGGGACTCTCCGTGGGTCAGGGAAGGCCTGTCTGAGGAGGTTGCATCTAAGCTAAAGTGGAAACAGTGAGAAGAGCATTCCTGGCAGAGGGACAGCAAGTGCAAAGGCCCTGGGGTTTGGCTGAGTGTTTGTGGAAAGTCTCACGTGCCCTCTTGGAGAATATAGGCACACGAGAGTTCACTGCATGTGCCAGTCTGTTGGTTCTGACCTCTGGGATGAAGTGGTTGACAGACAGGTGAGCATCCTTGGGGCAAGTGGATAGGTTCTATGGAAGGTCAGGGGAGGCCTAGCCTGAGTGATCATTGTTCCAGTCAGTTTGGAGAATGGGTGGGAAGGAAGAATGTTGGCAGGAGCCTGGGGAGAGAAAACGTTCAGAGTCACTGGCAGATGGCAGGAAGGGGACACAGGTACAGAGAGACCCTGGAAAGACACAGTGGGTAGAGATGCATGGGAAGCCAGCTGCCAGCCAGCCTAGGGTGGATCACAGGGTAGCAGGGTCTTTGAGCAGGTACAGGAGGCCCAAAGAGAGCAGAGATGCCCAAAATAAAGCAATTCTGAGGCAGAAGCAAAAGCAGCAGGGGTGTAGGGAGGAGGGGCTTTGGGGGAGCCAGAGCTGGGGAGCGCCTCTCTGGCTCCATGTCCAGAAGCCATCACTGACTGGCAAGGTGCTGCAGGTCCTAGGAGGCCACGCCAATTCACAAGCAAGCCAAAAGCCTGAGGCTGCTAAGAGGGATCTTGCCCTGGGCGGGGAAGGGCCAGGGGACTGGGGACAGAGAGGACACCACGAGTCTTAGTAGGAATCAGCCATGCTCAGCTCCACCTGAGTGGCTGTGAGCACTGGGACAAGAAGAGGGTGATCCTGAGATGCCATCATAGCCCCCCTGAGCCCAGTGGCTCAGTCTCCCATCTACAAATGCAGCTGGAAGCTGTTGGTCTCTGGGTGTCAAGGTCACAGGCAGGATGGAGAAAGGCCGTGGCAGCCAGAGATTTCCATGAGTTGTACTGATTCCTGGATGGCTGGTGATCTGGTGAAAGATTTCTGGTGGACTTCCCTGGAGCTCTGTCTTGTCACAGTGTGGAAAGTGTGCCTCTCAAGCCCACGGAGCCTATATGCAGAGAAAGAGAGGCAAAAAGAAGCCAGAGTCCAGATCCACAAAGGTGGCCTTGGATGCAGGATGAACTAGACGGATGAAAACAAAACTCTGTGGCAGTCAGTGCTGCCCACAGAAGCCAACTATGTGAGGGTGCAGACAGGCAGGGGACATGGCTGATCCCAGGCTCCTGGGGAGAAGTCTGCAACAGGGTGCAGTCAGAAGATAGAAAGGAAAGCAGGTGGAAAGAGAATAATTCAGGAACAGTCAGAACCTTCCTGGATCAAAAGGAGCTGCTTGTGAGTGAGTGAGTCAGTGACTGTGAGCAAATCTGACCACTGTGGGTGCCAAGTGACTGAGACACCACACACACCCCCCTTACCTTGTACCTAACTGCAGACACACACAGAATTGTTTCCCTACACTCAGAGGGTGTTCTCTCCTCCCAGTCACTTTCTTTCTTCCTCTGTTTTCATTTAACTGCCACCTTTGGCTGGCCACCTCCTCCAAGAAGGCTTCCCAAACCACCACTGCCCTCCAATGGTCACCCCCTTTCTGCATAGGATACACCCACCAGCCTATACAATTTCTCATTGTGCTTGACCCATTTTGGCACAGCTTTGTAACAGTAATGGAGTTTCACACTGCACAAACCATCTCAAAGAACCAAATCCACCACGATCCCACAACCTGACAAGATCCAGCTAGTGTCAATTTTAGGGGCCCATCCATCCTTGGTCATGTGCAGACAGACACTGCCATGGTGGGCTTTGGCAGTGATGCTTTTGCCATGCAGGTCCACATAGTCAGAAGTTCTGGGCCTAAGGTCAGCCCTGGGACTCCAGAGCAAGGAAGATGACACTGTGCAGATTGTAAAAAGAGCAGATCTTGCATGGCTAACAGGACCTGAGCTCTGGAATGAACTCACTAGTGGCTTTGGGACATACTGTTTTCCTCCTATTAGCCTCAGTTTACCTGTGAGGCCAACAGGGGTGTGAGAATGGGGATATGATGGGGTGGAGACCCTGGCATGGTATCAGCAAAGGCAGTGGGGTTCCCTTCCCCATTCCTGGATAGAGCCTGGGCTCGGGGGTGAGGTAGAGCTGGGTTCCAATCCCACATCTTCTCCTCCTTGATCAGAGACCGTCGCCAATCCTTTCATCCTCTCCTGGCCTCTTTCCTTGTGTGTAACACGGGCTGGTCACCATCGTTTGTGAGGGCTTGTGGAGGTGAGGAACCGTCAGCAATATCCATTCACCTGTCTTCCTTCGTCTTGAATGCCACCCCGTGCTGCCTCACTGGGCAGGGACGTCAGGCTACACGGAGGGCAGAGGCAGAGCCTGAACCTCCCAGCCACACGCTCTTCCTGTAGCCCCCAAGCCTGAGCTCACCTCCAAGGACCATGTGGACCTGGTCATCCAGCAGTGTGGCCTGTGTGTCATGACCTCCACTGGGAATGACAACTAGACACCATTAGTATGAGGACGTAAGGGCTGGTGTCAGGAGGCCAGGTTGGAGTCTGTCTTCTTCTGGGGTCTCTGCCCCAGTGTCTGCTGCCCACCCCACAGAACAGAAGGTCAGACCAAGCACAGCACAAAACCTGCCCCTGTGCCACCGCCTAGGGAGCCTAGAAGGACCCCATGACTGCTGAGGCCCATCTGCCACCTGGCCCACACCCTCTCCATTACACTGCCCTGCCTCTTCCATGAGAGGCAGTGAGGCATAGCGGATAGCGCACAGGTTCAAGTCCTGGCTCCACTACTCACAGCTGTGTGATCCTGAGCTGTCACTCAACCTCTCTGAGCCCCAAGTGAGCAGACAGGCTGGGGCAGTGCTTGAACCAACGTGTACCTCACAGGCTGCTGTGAAGGAAATGCAGTGATACGTGTCTAGTGCGCAGCGAACAAACACTGTCACTGTGACTAAAGATGGTGCACTGAGGGAGGAGCCATAGCTGGCTGGGAATCCAACTGTCTTTGCTTGATGATTGTGCAGACGGCCCCTCCTTTTTATACGGCCCCTCCCCACCAAAGGAGCCCTCAGAGAAGCCATGGCCTCCCTGCCCAGAGACAGGCCTGGAAAGCCCAACCCAAAAGATTAGGAGCCCTGGGGTCCAGCCTAACCATCCTAGACCCTCTGTGTAACCTCAGTCAGCCGCTTGCTCTCCCTGGGCTCAGAAGCTGATTTATAAAATGGGCTCCCCTCCCTGCACCCCAGCCTTACCACCAAGGGTTCAGCATACCTAACTTTCCAAAATTCCCAAGGTTCTGCCCCAGGACAGCCAACATGTGGGTCAGGCTCAGAGAGAGCCACTTCCTGCTGATTGGGATGAGTGTGAGTCGGAGGTGGATCTGAGCCAACTGGTAGAAGGTTCGGGGTCTCCCTCTGCTGCCAGGCCAAAAACTGAGGGGAGGGACTAGGGGTGCTGCTCAGTGGTAGAACAGAGTGCTTGATCTGAAGGAAGCCCTGGGTTCCATCCCCAGCACTGAAAAAAAGAAAACAAAAATTAAACAGGAGACCGGGACAGAGGCTCTGGAAGGGCAGACAGTCTGCTGGTGGGAGCCCCAGGAGCTGCCCCTCAGCCCCCGGCTCCACTGCCTCCAACTTGCACCCCTCCCACACCTGTCCCCCACCCAGGCCACTCCAGACAGCCCTGCTCCCTGCCCCTGAAGGCATAGGACAAAGCCTTCATCTCTTGGGACCCAGAACCTCATTTCTAAGAGCTGAAAACCCCAACCAGCTCTCTCCCACTTCACAAAGGACAAAACTGAGGGCCAGAAAGGAGAGGAGCGAGCCTAAGGCTACACAGCAAATCAGAATCAGACCCCAGACTAGTTCCCCATCCCAGGGCTCTCTGCCTATCCACCATGCTTGTGTATTCTGAGGGGCTACTTGGGGAGGTAGAGGAGTTGGTGACTATAGAGGTTTGGATCCAAAGGACATGCACAGTGAGGTCCTAGTGCAAGGGCCGTCACCCCAAAGGGCTCTCCCTGCTGCCTCTACCCAAAGGCCCCTTGGCCTTTCCTCTGAGAGACAGTCATTCGACCTTTGACTTATATGCCTGCTGTCCCACCATTAGAGCCTCAGCCCTCAGGCATCACCCTCTAGGAGGGGCTCTAGGAACTAGGCTGGTGGGGAATGGCCTGACTCATTCTGTCCCTCCTCTGGCAGGAGGAAGCCTGGGCTCCGGGGCCATGCTAGAGAACAGGGCCATGGCCCAGGGAGACACGGGGAGCAGAGAGCAAAGCTGTGTAAACGTGTCCCTTTGTAAGGCTACAGAGATGATTTATGGGAGGCGAGGGTTGTTATCCATTACACGTGCAGTGTGTCTCCACCATGGAAAGTACAAAACAGTAGATAGCAGGAGAAAAACGTGCTAGAGGTGGAACTACAAGCCAGACTCCACTGTGGAGGCCAAGACACCTGCACTTGACCCTATCCTTGAGGGAGGTCAGCCTTGGCACCCCAGGGAAAACTGAAGAGAGAGTTAAAGTCCCCCGTGAAATCAGGGAGGCCCTTATGGGGAGGAGGCTCATCCGGAGCCTTGAGGAGGAGGTAAGGGACAGGAGCTGAGGGTGGGGCATCCAGGTAGAATAAGCACAAAGGCAGAGGTGCTGGATGCAAATTGATGCTCTAAGGGAGAGGTCACATGGCAGGCGTCATTGGTCAAGGGCTGGAAGGCCAGCTGGGGTCTGATCCAAGATGCTGACTGAGTTGTTTGGACTTCAGGAGCCATCTAAACCTTGAGAGAGGCTGTCTGAGTTGGGGGACACTGGTCACAGCAGCACAGTGGGGAACAATCAGAGGGGGAGACCATGCCTCTAACCCCCCAACTTCCATTCAGCGCCTGGACCTGGACAACCACCTGGGCTCACCCAAGATTGGCCAGTGAGGTCACTTCCCTGGTTCTTCCTCCCTCCTCCTGCCTCTGGATGTGGCCAGAGCTGCCAGCTCCCTACTGAGAGCAATGGGTGATTGGATTAGGAGGTGATTTGAGGCCGGCTTATCTTGTGTGGAAATTGGCCCCCTCATCTTTTTCCATCCCATCTATGCTAGGCAGGAGGAGAACAGCCTCCTTGTTGCCACCCGGGCCTAAAGACCAGTACTATCATTAGCCAGCCCACCTTTGTACTTGTGTGTTTGTGGCCAGGTGGTTAGGGCCTTGACCCTTGAGACAAAGTGGTGTGTGATCAAAATGATAGGCACAAGAGGGGCTCTGCCTCTTGGCAGTGGGGGTACCCCAGACAGACCACCTCTCCCCTCCCAACCTCAACTACTCCTGTATAAACTAAGGACTATGGGAGCATTAAGTGAAATAATTCCTTGTGGTGGGCCGCACAGTGCCAGACACACAGCAGGTGTTCTGCAGAAGCCAGCTCTGTGAGGTTACTTACTGCCTCTGCACTCTGAATGCAGCAACATGCATTGCTGTCACTCCCTGAAGAGTCTTCGGTGACCCCCTCACTCCCACATGACTTCAGTTTCCTCGTCTGTTAATGGTGACACTCAGCAACCCCTCCTCCAGCCCCCACACCAGCTGAGCCAGTGCCCAAGTGAGATTTGTCAAAATTTATAATGACCAAGTACCCATGATTGGGCCTCCTGGAGCTAAGGCCACACAACAAATCAGAATCAGACCCCAGATTATGTCCCCAACCCAAGACTCTATCTGGGCTTCTCAATCTGGAGTCAGTGTCTGTGCTCATTCTTTGGTTCCCACTGTTCCCTGCCCGCCATCCTGCGCTGGGAATGGCCGCTGAGCTTGCCATCTGAGAATCTGGGCTCTGTGACAGCTTCATGCCCCTTTGTGAGAGTTCGTGGCTGGATTTCCACACCCAAATGTAGACAGGCTGACATGCGCCTGCCTTCAAAGAACTCACTGGAGAGTGTCTGTATGTCTGTCTGCAGAGCACTTTAAGCTCCTGATACTCCCCCAGAGGCTGAGATGCTACCATGCCACACACACACTCACACACACCTCAAACTACCTCCGCAATGCTGGAAAGAAAGGGATGAGGAGAGAGAATCCCTTGGAAAAGGCAAGTGGACTCCTTGTTTAAGGAAAGCACTTTGGGTCCTGGTACAAAGCACATTGGCTCTTATTTCAGGTATAATTCTGATAGGTTTGCAGCGAAGGCTTCACACCTGAAGCAACAGGAAAAAAGCAAGAAGGCTGTTAGAGACAAGTTTCACTGAAAACAGGGAGAAGTGGCAATCTATCTTGAGGGGAAAGCAGGAGGAAAGTCTAAAAAGCAGAGCTACATTCAAGAAGCAAGTCACAGTGTCAGGGAGTCAGCATTGAGGAGAGTTTTCTACACAGCATGGTAAAAATGAGTCAGAGGAAAAATGGGTGCCCAGAGGGCTAAACTTCACTTACAAAGATTCTACACCCAAGCAGTCACTTGTGAGCCTAGGGGCCCTCCCTGGGCTACCCTTGTGCCTGGGCAGGTGACTCCCCATAGGCCAGGAGGGCTATGCATAATGACTATTTATATTTCTGTGTGTGACCAATTGGCCTATGAAACATGATAGCCTCATGGAGCAGACACGGCTGCAGTGCATCTTCCAGTACCAACTGGAGGGCAAAGGGCCCTGGTGCCATATTCTCTGCTGGCAGACTGAGTAGACATGGCTACCATCTGCTTTCCAGGCTGGGCCCAGCTGTCCAGTTCAGGAGGATTAAGTACACTCACACCATCAAGAAACCATCATCAGAACTTTTTCATCTTCCCAAAAATGACACTCTGTCCCATAAAACACTAACTTCCCTTTCCCTCCTCCCTCAGCCCCATGCTACCTGTCCCCCCATGAATGTGACTGCTCTGGGGACTTCACATGGGTAGAATCGTGATATTTTTAGTCCTTTTGTGACTGACTGATTTCACATAACATAGTCTCCTCAGGGCTCATCCATGTTTGTAGCACATGTCAGAATTTCTTTCCTCTTTAAGGCTGAGTAATACTCCATTGTGTATGTAGGCCACATTTTTCTGCCTTTGCATCTTATCCTCTCTGCCACAGACTCTCCTGTGGCTCCCCTCTTTGAGCCGCACAATAGAGGGGCCTGCTTTTAAGCAAAACAAGTCTCATCAAGCAAAATCTAACACATAAAACCCAAAGATAAATAAAAGAAGATCTGCTTCACCCTCAGAGCTTCCCTTTCCAGACCCTTGAAAGAATTCTAGGGCCTTTCCAAACCTAGTTTAAAAATTCTAAAACTCTAGGAAAGGGGTCCTTGTCCCTTTTTCAGCATGGACACCCAACAAAGTCTAGTGACATTGTGTGCTACCCATACTCAGAATAAAGCTTTGAAATGCATAAATTAAAATAGAGTAGATCACTAAGGAGCCCAATTATATCGAAATAAAGTAGTAAAAAATATGTGAGGTGTAATTATGCATGTGCTTCTCAGTTAGTGCTAACACTAAACACTACACACTGAGACCTGAGAGGACATCCATAACCACTTTATTGTAGAATAGAGATGACCGTCAACAATGCCTGCAAGAGCTGAAAATTATATGACAATTTTTTATAACACATGTAGTAATGAGTGTGATGTCAGCAATAATAGGCACTAATAACACCGCTGGGATTTGTTGCTTACTGCATAATGGGGAGAAATTTTTAATCGCAGTTAAAGGTTTGTGAAAATAAATTTTATTTTCTCATCCAAGTTTACAGACTACCAAATTCTGTCCACAGATCTTTGGGAGGGACCCCAATTTAAGCAGTTCTGTCTAGGGCTTTGTTAGCATTTCTTTACTGGTTATAGAATTAAGCAGAATGAGGTCTGGCTCTAAATACTATCCATGAGAAAAAGAGAGAGTTCCTTGCTTGGCCTATAAGGGTGAGATAAGAAGGAGGGGGAGGAGGGAGGAAGTGTAGGAGGCAGTGGGCTTGGAGCTATTTGGGCTTTGGAGCCTGGCAGTATTTCAGCCCCAGGCCCCTACCAGCACTGTCCTGAGGTGAAATCATTTTAAAAGGACCCACCACACACAGAGTGGGGACCTTAACCACACAGGCTCCAGCAGTTTTGGGTGCTAGAGACCCCACAGTCTCAGCAGACAAGGAATTAGGAGTAGACTGACCTTGCTTCTTCTGCTCCTTTGAGGAGGGGGCTCAAGCCATGCAATGGTAACTCAGCTTTTGTCCCCTTCCCCAGGGACCCATGTGATGGAGGGCTCAGGAAGGATGGTCGTGACTGCGGTGGGTGTGAACTCTCAGACTGGCATCATCTTTACCCTGCTGGGGGCTGGTGGTGAAGAGGAAGAGAAGAAAGACAAAAAAGGTAAGCCTACCCCTCTGCAGACCAGGAGAGGAGCTTTTAAGGCCACATTTTTTTGTTTATTCATTTACTCAACAATATAGTTATCAAATGCCTTCTATGTCCATACCCAATACAAATAGCCACTTCCCTCACCCTCCAGGGCCTGCTTGGGTCAGGTGGGCTCTTGTTTGTTTCATCTCCAGGGTCTTGTCCCAGTCTTTGTCTTGTCCAGTCGTGTCATGGAGGCCCTTCCTTCCCCTCTGGACTAGACCCAGAATGCTAAGCTTGTTATCAAGTCTTCAGACTCAAGCAGCAGAGACACCCAGCATGAGCTGACCTCACCATCACCCCAATATTGAGTACAAGTCCCCACTAAAACATGTGCCTTCCACCATTGTCAAGTCCACTGAGCAAAACTGAAAATCCACCTGGCATAGACTCATCCCAGTCATGGGCAGAAGAGATTCTGAGAATCATGGCTAAAGTATGGCTCCTCTAAATCCTTCTCTGATGCCCCTAAAGCTGCCACCTTGTCCATGTCCTGGTACTTAATAACTGGGCTCCCCTTGGTGTAGCAAGTAGCAGCCCATGATGAAAGTACCTCTCAGGTCAGAGGGAGGATGCTCACATGAGAAGCCAGGTCTATGACCCCACACTGCCAGCTCCTTACTTGACACCCATACTCAATCTCAGAGACAGCCCCTTTTTACATTGTAAGTCTTTTGTTTTCCCCAAGCTTCAGAGAAGATCTCTAGCACCCAAAACTGCTGGAGCCTGAGAGAAGGGAGCTAGCTGAGAAGGCAGATGGCCTCTGCATGGGGTCAAGGACAACTCTGCTACCTTCTTGTCTCAGAGGCCACTCAGGGAGAAAGCCTAAGCCAGGTTGGATGATGACTTGTTCCTGAGGATAGAAGATGATCCATTTCTAGTGGATCCCCTAAGATTATAGCTATTCTCACCATCCCAAGAAGGAACAATAGAGCTGACCTTTTGTCTGGGAAATTAAGAGGCTGGAGAAAGCAAAGGGATACTGAGGTCGAAATAGAAGTGAGCGTTCTAGCCAGAGGTCTTAGAGGGTATCAGGATAGAGTCCATGCACCAAGTAAGGCTCTGCAGCCAGGGTGGCCTAGCTGGCTCAGAACACAGGCAGCAGGGCCGATCTGAGCAGTCCAGTAGGTTGCAGCAAACCTGTATGCATTTCCTTGGCCCCACTAGGGCCTGGCTCAGGAGCAGGCACTCACAGAAGCTCCCACAGGCCGGACCTGTATCTGAAAATGCCAGGAAGAAGATAGGCCTCAACAACCCCAAAAGTTCAGTTCAGGGACCCTTGTTGGATGTGTACCATCAGGACAGGGTATGGGAAGAGTCAGCTTGGTGTAGGGAGAAGAGGTGGGGTTCCCAGGGGACATAGCAGAGGAAGCCTAGGAGGTTGCCTAGCCCTCAGGCCACTATACGCAGCTGTTAGGGCTGGGCCCTCTCTACCCTCTCTCCCCATATCTCAGCCAGGGATGTAGCTTAGAGCTGCCAACTGTATGTTCCAATTTCAGAGTGACCCCGTGTGTGTGTGTGTGTGTGTGTGTGTGTGTGGTGTATGGTGTGCAGACAAGGATGTGAGCGCTTCTTCATTAACATGTCTCAAAAATCATCACACAGGTGTGAAGAAGGGGGATGGCCTTCAGCTACCAGGTACAGTAAGACACCCCTTAGGGCAGATGGGGCTTTTAGAAATAGCTGCAGCCTTTGGTCACTAGGTCCTGCCAGTATACCAGCAGCACACATCTGGAGGAGGCCACACATCTGCTGGAGGCCCTGTGCCACCCCAGGTGCCCCTCTATACTCTTATGTGATGCCAGCCTGGCAAAACAAGCCAAAGCCCCACTCTGTCCTCTTGCCCCTTCAATACTTCACCATGTTGGCCAAGGCCAAACGGCACCTTCACTGTCTGCCCACCACCCTTAAATCTGCACACAGGCATGCAATGCCTCTCTCACCACCATGGCACCCCTGTGCCCCACTAACACCCCACAGAGTCATCCCGCGCCCCTTTATCAGGCACACAGTGTGTCCACTCACCCATCAGCACCCCCACCCAATAGGATCTCTTCCTTCTCCTTCCCACAGAACCCTGCCCCAACCTCGAGAAAGAGCAACAGGGGTGAACTTGGCCATCTTTTGATTCTAATTTCTAAATTAAAATCTCTCTCCTTGTTGTTGTCTACAAAACTCAACACCCTTGAAGCCACCTTTTCAACGGTGGGATATCTCATGTGGGGTTACCAAAGCAACCTTTGGTGTGCTGCTTAGAGGAGGATGCAGCAATGAGCCTGAGTTGAAGGCCTGATCTGAGGTCACTGACATTGATAGCTCTCCCACCAGGACACCCCAGTACACATTGCTGGCAGTCACAGTGAATGCTTCTGTCACCAAGCATTTTGAATTAACTCCTGGCCATAGGCCCTCTGGCCCATGGGCCGCTAGACCCTGTCATCCAGTATGGGGCCTGTTTGACTCACTGGGCCAGCAGGACCCAGGCATCACCACAGAAAAGTGCCATCCCACCTGACCACCTGACCATGCTCCATGCTTTACTTCAAAGACCCTCCATGTCTGAGTCCCTACCTAACCCCGCGGCATCTTCACAGGAATTTCACCCCAAAATTTGAGTATCCTTTTTGTTTTTAAGAGTAGTCGTGTGGCTTCCCAGCAGTGGGTTCATGTCTTTGTCATCGTTGTTTTCTCCATTGTGACGCTGCATTTTCCATCCCTCCCACCCCACAGCGGCAGACGGTGCAGCAGCTTCAAATGCTGCAGATAGCGCAAATGCCAGCCTAGTCAATGGTACGTCTCCGATGGCAAGCTCTCTCGGTCTGGGTTCCTGGGCATCTTTCCTCCACCCCAACTTGGTGCTTTCTCTCCCTGTTCTGGGCCACATAGACCTCGGACGTGCATGGGCCACCCTGGGACACTCACCTCCCACATGGGTCAGACGCTTAAGAGCAGAGCCACGGCTGGCAAGCGAAATCAACTCCGTGCCTGCCACCAAAAAGGTGCTGGTCCAGTTGGGCTCTGGACCTCCCCAAGGAAGCCCAAAGTGACACATGACTTTGGCTTCATTTAGATCCCCAAGAAGCAGTGTCCTACCTGGCGTGGCTCTCTCCTAAGTGCATTCCTGGCCCTGGCTTTGGGAAGATGGCCTGGGGTCAGGACCTGAGATGAAGCTGGGTCTGGGTCTCTGGCAAAAGCTCCTGGCCTCCACTTGGATTTCCTGGAGGCAGGGAGATCCAGGCCCTGGTTCAGCTCCTTGGCCCTGCCCATAGCATGGCTGAGCCACTGGTTGACAGTTCTTCTTCTCTCTGATAGAGTGAATGGGCAGCGGGCTTGCTTGGGCTCGGGCCTAGTCTGTATCTCAGATGTGGACTGTGCTGTTGCCTGTGCTAGAGCGTGTGGGTCTCTGCATTCTTAATACCTCTGGAGTGGGAGTGGCTGCCTGTGTCCCCAGGTCTTCATCTTACTCTCCTTACTCATGGGCAGGGAAGAATTAAGTTCATTTGTCTCTGAACCTTTTGCCTTCCATCCTCAGATAAGTCTTCTGAGACTCAAATCCCACCTCTGTCTCCAAATTAGGTAACATTATGGTCACCAGGCTGATCCTGGACTGCTGAGAGCCATTAGGGTTCAGCCATGGAAACATTGCCCCAGAGAAGCCAAGGGAAGGGACAGAAGGCTTTTTTTCATTGTCACTGCATTTCGGGCACTGGGCTATGGGTTTCTCATTCATTCTATCATCTCTCCTGCAAGTATGCAGTCTCTTGTCCCACCCCTATCCTCCCATCCCCCACCCAGACCTCTGACCAAGTCACATGCCTTCACAGTGACCGAGGATGGAGGCACCACTAGACGTCAGGGCTAGACAAGGCGCCTTCTACACGCAGAAGCTCATTCCATATGTGTCTATTTCAGGCCCAGGAGGAGGAAGGACAGCTGGGGCTGTGGGAGGTGTCATGTGGCTGGGAAGGGTGACTGAGAGGTGACAGAGAGAACTGACATAGGTAAACCCTCGGCTAGTGGAGAAGGAACCAGGAAATGGCACCCACTTCTCCCAGGAGAGGAGTGTGCAGATGACATCTGTGCTGGCCAGTTCCAGAAAAAAAGGGTAGTTTCACCTTCAAACTGCAGTCAGGAAGCCCCAGCACCTTGAGAAAAACCTCAGGAAAGATGAGCAACTTTCATTCCTTGACAGTCTACCTTATGCCAGGCACTGGTGCAAATATTTCATGTTCTCCCTCCCATCTAATACTCGACAGTCCCCAACACGGGTTTTATCGTCGCTACTCTAAAGATGAAGAGAAGAGTAAGGCTCAAGGAGATCAGGCACTAGCCCAAGGGCACAGAGCTAGAAAGTAGCAGAACTGGTATTTGAACCCAGAACCCAACTCTGGATGTCTCCAAAGTGTGTGCTGCTTGTCCTGAACCAGGATTCCCCAGTGAAGTGCATTTCATAAGTTTCACAAGGAAGTGAAGAGCTGTCTCCCCCTCAAAGAAAAAGATCTTTTTTGGAGGGATTACACATGTAATTTCAGCACTCAGCGTTGGAGGCAGGAATATTGAGAGTTCAAGGCCAGCCCTAGGTTCCATCCCCAGCCGTGAAAGAAAAATAAAAAAAGATGTTCAAGACCATTGGACTGAATGGGTTCCTTCCTTGTTACAGAACTTGTCCGGGCCTTGAAATGCTGGTGTGTAGGGAGCTACAGACTCATCTAAAAGTTTTCCCAGGCTGATCTGACAGAAAGACCTTGCCCAAATGAATCCTGTGGGATTGGTGTGCCCTGTAGTATTCTTTGGGAAACAGTGCTCTAAGCCATTGCTATTGAAAATGTGATCAGAGGACCACCCAAAGCCTGAAACTCACCTGGGAGACTGTCAGAAGTGCGGACTCTCTGATTTTAACCACCCGTCAGGCTCCAGGAGAGAGCACTATAATTTCGCCTCTTTCTTCTGCACCAAATCCTGATGACTTAGATATAGGAAAAAAAGCTTGTGTGGCAGTGGTCCCCCAGCTCTGCTCCCTGAAGATGCTCTGTGAAAGAGGGGTGTGTTCCACTCATCTTGGAGACATCACCATTGTCATTATTATTTTATTATTTTCTTTTACATTTATTAATGCATCATTTATAATCATAGTGATAATCACAATCAATGGTATCACACCATGAGCCTTGCAGGTGTTTGTCATAAGCATCACCTTAGTTGACAATGCATAGAGTACAAAAGGGGGTCACAGGGAGGAGAAGCAACAGCTCCTGGTCCTCTAGCTGGTGCTGTCTCCCAAAGCTTGTTTCTCAGGTCACCTCTCCTGAATCCTTCAAGTCTAGCCCCTCACACCCACATCCCTTGTGATACTCAGAGAGAATGGAACCATCTGGAACAGCCGCATCTGAAATCAGATGCAGTCCCCCATCCTGGACCCCATTCCACATCCCCAGGCTCCTGAAACACAGCCCATTCTCCAGATCCCACGTGGGGCAACAGCTGGCCATCCCACAACAGTGTAGGGTCAGGCAGGCACCTATTTGGCTAAAAGCCCCAAATAAGTCCCTTGCCTCTGACAAACCAGGCCATCTGAGCCAAAGCACTCCCAGAACATCGTTCCCTTCCTCCAACATATGCATTAGTGATTTTTTTTCTGGCCACGTGATCATGATGGCAATAAAAGAGGAAATTACTAGCTGGGTGTAATGGGTGCACACACCAGCTAGCACATCTGATAATATGCAATGCAAATAAAGGTCCTTTGAGCCTTCCAGATGAGACAATTGAAACCAGTCCTCTGGTGCCTCTTAGCCTAGTTAGTGAAATTATTTCAATAAATAAAAATAATTTCCTTCATTGCTGTTTGCACTAGAAAGTTTTCTCTCTGTTGTTTTTTAATACAGCAACAAGGGCCTTTCTTATTAAGCCCCAGGCAGGCCACTGACCCTTTGCTGTAGGGGCAGTGGACACAGCACTTGGACAGAAAATACCAAGCTGGGGTCCAGGAAAGCCACTTCTCCCCTGAGTCACCCAAAAAGTGGGGATAGTGACAAAAAACAAGCTCATCATGCAACTGCAGGGTTATTTTGAAAATTCCTCTTAAATACAGGTTGCCTTGGAACTTCCCTTGGTCTCAGTTTTCTTGTCTGTGAAATGACAATGTTGACAATCCTTCCTGCCCAGTCTTGCAGGGGCTGATGAGGGATGATACTTGCAAACATGCTTTTAAACCTCCCAGGGCTGAGCCGTGAAAGTGGTCATGAGGAGGGTAACTCCCGGTACTCTGGGAGAGAAATGTCTCTGTCCTGCTGAACAAAGTGGAAGCAGGCTGGGAGAGGTAAACCATGTAGCTCATTTGAATCAAGCAGGGGCTCTCCCTGCAGCACCACCTTGACTCCCTGTGCTGGGCTCAGAGGAACTTCAGGAAAAGAGACAGCAGAGTGGAAACATGCATGCTCCCACATTCCTGCTGAGATCCAGGAGGCCACCACCCTCTCAGAGCCTCAGCTCCTGAAGCTGTCCCTTCACTGGAGGGGATGTGGTGAGGATTCGATGAAATCATGGAGTTATGTGAGATGGGCACCTTGTGGGCTTGGCAACAAATGTCCACGGGCAGCCAACCTTCTCAGACCCCTCCTGAGGTGCTGAGTTGGCAGGTCCAACTCCCGATGAGCAGCGTGAGCCTGGCAGACAGGAGGGCACAGGTGAAGGCAGATGGCAGGCTCCTGTGCTGGCCTCCCAAGCAGCTGTGAGCGCAGTGTAGGAGGAAGAGGGAACAGATTCAGCCCTTCCCCTGTACGAGGCATCATTAAACCCTGGTATGGAAGGGGTACCCAGAGGAGCCCCTGGCTACTGTGACCTGAGCTGCAGCTCAGGTTAAGGTTAAGACTCCTTAACTATGATCAGTAGCTTCCCCCTGGAACCAGAACACTTCAGTAGGTCCTCAGACACACGCCAGGTCACTTAGAGACCACCCTAGGGACCCCTTGCTCACTCTCAGGATTTTGTCAGGGGGTCATCCATGCTATGGCCTTTCACCCTTCAGAGACACAAGTAGAAAATGGGATCATCCCTGCTGGAGCCAGAAACAAAGGGCACACCTTGCACACATTGACCCCTGTGCCTTCTCCCAGTCTCTCTCTCTCTCTTTCTCTCTCTCTCTCTCTCTCTCTCTCTCTCCCCTTCTCTCTCTCTCTCTCTCTCTCTCTCCCCCCCTCCTGTTCTCTTGTTTGCACATTTTCTTTCATGGGAAAATAAAAAGGATGTAGCTGAAAAATTATCCCTTTCCCTCCTCTCAGCCCCCAAAACACAGCAGCTAAATAGCCGTAAAGGCCCAGTTTGGGGTCTGGGATTCTCCTGTTTCCTACCAGCAACTCTGCTTCCTTTCATCCTCAAATATGGCCTCATTTAATCTGTAAAATGTTCAGGGCCAAAATTATCCCAACAGAAACCCTCTCTCCTGAGCCCCCTAGAGAATCAAGAACCTGGACTAGAGGTGTGGGCCAAGCAGTAGAGTGCCTGCTTTGCAAGTGCAAAGCCCTGAGTTCAACCCCAGTCTCACCAAAAAGAAGAAAAGAGAGAGAGAGAGAATCAAGAGCCACTCAGACTGACAGCTCTAACGTGGCAATCAGGCTGGCCCTTACTCTGGGGCCTCCTCAGTGTCCCCAAATAGCCCCACCCTTCCTCCATCTGTGATGTGGATGTCTGTGGTCTGTTGCGTCTTCGTGATGACCGACCTGTGCTGTCTGTTCTCTGTTGTCTGTTAAAATTCTTTGTCGTGTAGGTAAAATGCAGGATGGCAATGTGGACAGCAGCCAGAGCAAAGGTAACCCTCTACATTGACCGGCTTTTGTGGTCCCTGCGGCCCGTCCCTGATCAGGGCAAGTCAACCATAGGCAGGGACATCCACACCTACAGGGGTCTGGCATCTTTGGGGCAATAGCTGATTCTCGTGACGCTGGGTCAAATTAAGAGGTGTCACTGTTGAGGAGAGGGGCCACTCCAGGACCAGTGCCGAGCCTTGGAGCTCTGCTGGCCATTCAACAGAAGTTAGGATGCTGGCTCTTTGAGACCCTTACAGATGGAGGTAAAGGATTAGCCAGTCTCTGTCTAAAAGGGCTCAAGCTCTCCTTCAGTCCCATGCCAAAAATTCTATACTGGCTGGGAATGGGAACTTGGCACCTGTGCCCAAAGTTACACTCTTACCTGTTAAGCCTCACCCTTTGTCCCTTCTGTCTCCTGGCTCCTTAACATCCCAACAGCCTGGCCCTGAGAGCCCACTGGGGAAGCTCACACACACACACTCCTTTCTTGTCTGAATGTAGAAAAGGCCATTCAGGGTAGGGTCTGTGGGCTTGGTCACCCCAAGGTGACCCAGATCCCAGGCAGTGGGTGCTATTGGGAACCAGACTCCAGCTGGATGGGTCACGTCCCACCCCAGCTTCTGTGCCAGCCATGCAGGGACCCAGGTAGGGTGTCAGCACCTCCCCTGGGCAGGTAGGGTGGGAACCAGCGTCCCCACCTGCGAGCTGACCTGCATGTGTCTGTGTGCACACGTGCGTGCTCTGCCCGCTGCAGCCAAACAGCAGGATGGGGCAGCCGCCATGGAGATGCAGCCCCTAAAGAGTGCCGAGGGAGGCGATGCAGATGACAAGAAGAAAGCCAACATGCACAAGAAGGAGAAGTCGGTGCTGCAGGGCAAGCTCACCAAGCTGGCTGTTCAGATTGGCAAGGCGGGTGAGTGTGCTGCAGGTGGGGTTGGTGGGGGTGGAGTTCAGAGCATGCAGTGGGACCCCATCTGAGCCCTACCCCAAGCTGGCCTCCATCATCACATCTGCAAAGGGAGCATCTGCTCTGCCACAGCAACCAGATTGAGTCCTGTATACAGTAGCCACTCAGTGGCACTTAATAAGGGAAAGAGTAAAGTGAAAAGCCTGGGCTCTGGGAGAAAACTACCTATGTTCTAGTTCAGCTATGGCTGTGAGGACTTAGGTGAGTAACTTCCGTGAGCTCTGAGCCTCTGTCTCCTCATCTGTTGATAGCGACAATGGTGTCCTACCTCACAGGTTGCTGTGAAGATTAGAGGAGACTGTGTACAGAGCACTTAGATTTGGGATGGAGAGTGACTGCAGAAGGGGCAGATCTTGCAGGACCTGGAGTTCTAGGCAGCATGGGCTTCATCCTGAGGATAGTAGAAGTCATGGAAGAGGTTTGGAGAGGAAGGCCAGGATGGATTTGAGCTTTATAATGACAACTGTGGCCACAGTGCAGAGGAAAGACTGAAGAAGGTGGGCAGGGCCAGAAGCTCAGGAAGAAGCCCTGGTCTGATCCCCAGTAAAACAATCTGTGCTTCCCAACTAAGATAGTAGCTACAAGTGGTGGCTGGTGACAGCTCCCTAGCCCAGGAGGCTGAGCCCAGCTGCAAGGTGAGCCGAGACCCTCGAGCGTGGCCTTGGCTTCCCCTCTTGTGTAAGGCCTCCCCAGCTGGCTGCTCACCCCTCAGAGGCTGTCTCCCGACTCTAATTATAGACGCCACAGCATAGGGAAGGAGGCAAATTATAGGCTTGGCTGTCTATATTTAAACTTGGGGGCCTGGTGACAGCTCCCGGCTGCTGGGAGCTTGGCTTCCCGCCCCTACAACTGTCAGACAGGGAGAGAACTGGGTCTGAGGCTCTGCAGCTGGAGGTGGAGGGGTGGGGCAATGAGCCCAGGGATTTCCTCCATTCCCACCATTGCTGTCACAGGCAGAAGGCTCACAGGAACATGGCACAGGGAGGCAGGGAGCTAGATGGTGACAATAGCCCTGTGGCCTTCAAAGTCCTCACTCTGTCCTTTCCCACCTCTCCCTGCCAAGAATGGAGTTCACAGTCAAATATTCTTACGTTCATGGCCCACCTCTGCCTCCCTCATAGACTGAACTCTGGAAAGCAGAGCTGAGGCGGGGGTGGGGGTGAATGGAGGGATGCTGCTCTAGGGGTGAGGGCTGCACATCTGGGACAGAAAAACCAGATGCTGCTGAGATTTTCCAAGAATTCCTAGTCTCTGCTTGATCCCTTGAGACCTCGGCACCGTGAGCCACACAGCAAGTCCTGTCCACCTTGCGGCAGGTGGCTGGGCTTTGGAACCCCCACTGCCAGCCACTAGACACTGACCATCAGCTTGGGGTAGGGAGAGGGACATTCACAGGCCCTTTTGACAGGAACACCCATCGCCCCTGCACTGGCCTCTTCTGGCAGAGGCTACTCAGGCACCTGAGGTGGGGGATGAGCTGCAGACCTGGTAAAAGAACCAACCCCAGGGGCCTGAGCAGTTTCAGTGTCTTTCTGTCCTGTGACTGCCCCTGTCTGAGTCTCATTTTCCTCATCCAAGAAGTCTTCCTGGCCATTCTGGCCAAAGCAGCCACTCCCTGCTACCTTCTGTCCCCTTCTACCATATTGTCCTGGCATTTTTCTGCACAGCATTCATCCAGTGTCTGAAATGATCTTGCTTTTGTCTATCGGGTTCACGTCTGCCTCCCCCTCTAGAATATCAGGTCCCCAAGGGTGAGGTCTCTGTCTTTGTTACTGCCATGTCCCTATTTCCTAGACTAGAAATTACCTTGAGCCTGGCATATCATAGGCACTGGGAAGGTATTTGTCAAATGACTGAGTCTCACATCTCTGTGTGAAGTCTCTATGCAGACAGTTCTCCCATTTCAGGAGAGCCCGCTGAGTGGGCACTTTGCATGCATTACTGCATCTGGGCTTTGCAAAACCACATGAAGGAAGCCTGAGTCCCCACTGTACAGAGGAGGAGACTGAGACTCACTGAGGATCAAGGACATGCTCAGGGTGAAAAAACAAGGTGCTAAGAGGTGAACGAGGGTCCGCCTGGCTCTGGAACGCTCTGAGCAGGTGTCCCCATGTTGCAGGCCTGGTGATGTCGGCCATCACAGTGATCATCCTGGTGCTCTACTTCACCGTGGACACCTTTGTGGTCAACAAGAAACCGTGGCTGCCTGAGTGCACCCCTGTCTACGTGCAGTACTTTGTCAAGTTCTTCATCATTGGCGTGACAGTGCTGGTAGTCGCCGTGCCCGAGGGACTTCCTCTGGCTGTCACCATCTCGCTGGCCTACTCAGTGAAGGTGAGAAGGGAGAAGAGCAGGACCAGTTGGCTCTTAGGAACCAGTGCCAAGATTGGGGTACCAGCAAAAAAAGCTCATGGATGCACCAGGAGCTGGAGAGAGGATGCATGCAGGTCTCCAAAACTCACACACCTTTGGAAGCCTGGGGCAGAGGGTCCTCATTATTCAGCCCAGTCAAGGATGCCACTTGGGGTTGACAGATTTCACAGTTTTTTTTTTTTCAAAAGAAGCCAGAAATCTGGACTTAATGTAAACTCTCCAAATTGTTATTAACAATCTACTCAATTTTTTAAAATAAGTCCAGGTATGGGTGACTCACACCTGTAACCCCAGCTACTTTGGAGGCAGAGATCAGGACGATCATGGTTTGAGGCCAACCCCAGCAAAAAGCTAGTGTTACCCCATCTCAACCAATAAGTTAGCATGGATATTCACTCCTATCATCCCAGCTACATGGGAGGTATTAATAGGAGGATTATGGTCCAGGTTGGCCGGAGCAAGAACACAAGACACTATCTGAAAAATAACTAAAATAAAAAGGGTCAGTGGCAAGGTTCAACTGGTAAAACACCTGCCTAGCAGCATGAGGCCCTGAGTTCAAACCCAGTACCACCAAAATAACTAAATAAATAAAAATTAAATAGGGCTGGGGTGTAGTTTAGTGGTAGAGCACTTGCCTAGCATTCTTGAGGCCCAGTGTTCAATCCCCAGCACCACAGAAATATAAAATAAAAATGCAGATATCAATGTGCAGATTAAAACCCATTCTATCCCACCAAATCTCAGCAAAAACCTGGGATTTGCAGTTACAGGCCCATTGATACCTACAGTATTTGTACAACCTATCTCAGAGGCCACTCCTTAAAGTATGAAAACAAAAGGAGTCTGATTTTATGGAATCCCCTCCCTTCTGATATGGGCTGGAAATCTAAGAAGTTTTATAAGAAGTTAAATGGAGCCTTGCTGGGCTCATGAAAGTTTCCTCGGGAAGTTCCAGTCTAGGGTCCTTCCAGCATCAACCCACGGCAAACCCTGCCTCCACCTGCTACGGCATGACCATCTGTAGAGCCTGAATGCTTGGAGTCTGACCTTCTGAAGGTCATTCCTGCTCATTTCTTCCCCACCGTGGAGAGCAGGGCCCTGGGCTCCTGTTTCCCAGGATCTTGATGCCGGGATGCCCCTGCGAAAGTGGAGATGTGGTCGTGTTTGTCAACAAAGCATTTGCTCTGAGAGATTGGCAGGGCCACCGAGGGCACAGCCAGCGTCAGTTTCCAAGCTGGAATTTGGACTGGGCTCTCCGATGTAATTTCATGCAGAAAGAGATCTCCAGACCGGTGCCAGAAAGTGGCAGTTCTGTGTAAGGGATACCGCCCTTATCATCTCCCAGTTTTAGGGTTCTCAAAGAAACTCCATCCCACAAACAAAAGCCCAAACAGGTCACTACACAATGTTTCTTGGGTCCAGGACCTGGCAAAGGTGACTCTTGTGTGGCCGTGAGTAGGACCCTACAACCACCTGACAGCTCAGGTGCACAGAGCTGGCGGTGGGGGGGAGGGAGGGGCGGGATGTGCAGACAGCTTGAGGCCTCTGCACCTTCCACAGTTTGTGGCTGTGCACCTGCTACTTTTGTTTGCCATAGGTCATGTTACTTTTGCAGCCACCTGATAAACTTAGTAGAGCACCCATGCAAAAAAGGCCGACTCTCCCTCTCTAAGCCTGGCCCCCAGAGCCACCATCAAGAGCACAATGATGACCACTTGGGTCAGCACTGCTCAATAGAGACAGAATGTAAGCCACATGTGTCATTTTAAGTAGCCTTGGAGCCACATTTTTAAAAAGGTGAAAAGGAACAGGTGACATTAATAATACAATTTATGTAACCCCATATCTCCGAATTATTACCAATCCACACATAATTAATATAAACATTACAGGGACACTTCTTTCATATGTGTTTTTTCAAAATGTTTTCAAATCCAATGTGTATTTTACACCCACACTTTGGACCAACTGTATTTCAAGAGCTCAGTAGCGCCCTGTGGCTACTGTATTGGGCAGTCCCAATGGGAGATTCTTAAGGCCAAGAGACTAACCCTCTTCAGAGAGAGAACAGATGGACTGAGGCTCAACAGAATGATCCAGGCCACGTGGTAAAGCAGAGGTGGGTTCAAATTCCAGTCTTCACCCTCACCAGGTGTGTGATTCTGGCCGATTCACCTTGTCTAGGTTTCTTCAGTTGCCAAAATGGATTGCCAGGATTCTCCCAGGTCTTAAAGATTTCTTATACCATCAGACAATAAAATAAAGACAGGAGGGCTTTGTAGACTATAAAGTGTGTTCCAAATTCAAATCATTGTTGATCATCCATTTGATATACAATTATTGTTATAATTGTTATAGGTTACAAGGGAAGATGCAATAGCATGTAGCCCCTATCAGTACTCATTTTCAGTAACATGAATCTCTATTAAAATATTCTAAGCCAGGCATGGCTATGCATATCTGTAATCCCAGCACTCAGGAAATAGAAGTAGGAGGATTGCAAGTTTGAGGCCAGCCTGGGCTACATAAGCAAATTCAAGGCTAGCCTGTGCTACATAACAAGACCCTGTCTCAAAAAAAATAAAAACAAATCTAAAATATTCTGATTCCATTTCTCTTTTACCCTTCTTATAAAGAGTTGCAATGAGGATCAAGAATAAGGGAAATCAAATCTTTAGGCACAGGCTAGGACTGTGCCTCTAGCAAATTTTCACTCCTTGATGAGGTCAGTTCTGTCAGGGAACCTGTGTAAGAATTATTTTATTATTTGCATTCCTTGCTTAAGAAGCAGAGGAGCTAGGAGCGTAGAGCTGAGGCATATAGAAGAAATGATAACATGCATAGTAGGGTCCCATTTTGTTATAAATTTAAAAAGAAAAAATGTTTATTTGTATATACGATGTGTCCATTCTAGGTGCTAGCTTATGGCTCATTTTTCTTTATCCTTTTTATATATCTACATTTAAGAGAAATTTTTATTTTTATTATGTAAGTTACATGCTCATTGTAGAAAACTAGAATCTATAGATTTGAAAAAGAAGTCAAAAAATTTGAAATTATCTCACCCAAAGTATAATGACATTATTTTGATATTTTCCTTTATCTATGAACAGGATAGAATATCTATATTCTTAAATATATTCTAATTTCTAAATTTAGAATACCTATATTCTAAATTTATCTACTTAGGGTGAAATTGAAATGACCATGAAAATCAGGCACCTGCAGAAGACGGATTTGAGAAAACCCATAGCCAAATGATAAGTAGTTGTTTATTTTAAGCTAAGAGTAAAATAGTTGAAGTTTATCAGGGAGGATCCAACCTTATTTTTTATCTTTTCCACTATTTTTTCCATAAAAAATGTAAATGACTTCCATGACTCAAATTAATAAATTCAGTTATCAATCTTTTAAATGTTTCAAATGACTTTAAAAAAAATAAAAAAGGAAAGGGCACACACCTGAGCAATAGAATCTCAAATATGAGAGGCTGTAGTGGTCAAGGTCAAGGGGAGACCGAGGCAGATTTTCCTCGCACCTTGGCACGCGTATGCCCCTCTCTCTCCTCACTGTCGCTCTCTCACTGCCCCTTCTCCCAGAAAATGATGAAGGACAACAACCTGGTACGACACCTGGACGCCTGTGAGACCATGGGCAACGCCACAGCCATCTGCTCGGACAAGACGGGCACACTGACCACCAATCGCATGACAGTAGTACAGGCCTACGTGGGCGATGTCCACTATAAGGAGATCCCTGACCCCAGCTCCATCAACGCCAAGACCATGGAGCTGCTGGTCAATGCCATCGCCATCAACAGCGCCTACACCACCAAGATCCTGGTAAGTGGTTTTGGCCACAGCCTCCACTAGGGGAGCACCATCCATGGTGTAGGGTGGATGCAGGCTGAACAGTGTCATTGGTGTTTTCAACTCCTGCTGATAGATTCTGGTCTGGTCAGATAATAGCAACTAATTTCTCTTTGACTTAATATTCTATTAACATTGCTATTATGTTTGTGTAACCAAAAAAAGAAAAGATATTGTTAATTAATGTTATCGATTATTTATTACAGTTTTTTTTGAAGTGTGGAGGGGTGGGGGTTGAACTCAGGACCTCTCACTTGCCCACCTTGCCAGCCCTTTGCGCATTGGTTATTTATGAAATAGGTCTCATTTTATGCCCAGGCTAGCCTGGACCACGATCCTCCTATTTCTGCTTCTGCATGTAACTGAGAGGGCAAGTGAGCCCCACGTGTCCAGCCATTGACTGAGATGGGATCTCATGAAACTTTTTGCCTGGAATGGCCTCAAACCTCAGTGCTCCTGACCTTTGACTCCCAAGTAGCTCAGTAGATTATTACTTTTTAGATTCTGCCATTGAATCACACACCCACGCACGCACATGCACACACACACACACACACAAAACTTTTATTATTTTTTTTAATTACATATCAAACTATTCCAAAGTTTAGTGGCTCAAAACAACTGTGGGCAGTTGGTCTTCCGTATTCACAAGTTTCAAGTCCACTGACTCAACCAACTGTGGATCAAATATATTCAGAAAAAAAACCCAACTAGGTCTACAATGCTGCTTTTATAGTGAATGTGTACAGGCATTTTTCCTGATCCTTATGCCCTAAGCAGTGCAGTATAATAGTGACTTACATAGCATCTATGCTGTATTAGGTATTGAAAGTCATTCTAGAGATGATTTAAAGGATCAAGAAGGATGTACATAGGTCTGATGCAAATACTACACCATTTTATAAGAGGGACTGAACATCTGCATACCAGGAGTCTGCTGGGGGTCCTGGATACTGAGGGTTGACTGTGTTTAGCTGGCAGTCCCAGCGTCCAAGCTGGGCTAAATAAGGTGGCTATTCTGCTCTCAGCAGTCTCCCCAGCTCTGTTGATCTTGGCAACATGGACCATGCCTTGCATGGTCTCACCTCCTCTACTGGGCTTGTCTGCATGAAGACATTAGGATTCTGAGTGAGATTAAAAGTGTACAAGGTCTCTTGAGACCTGAGCTCTGAATTGCCACAATGTCACTTTGCCACATTCTCTTGGCCAACACACATCAGATGGCCAGCCCAGACTCTCAGAGTCCCACACACACACTTGCTTACAAGGACATGGATTCAGAGAGGGGAATCAATGTGGTCATTTTTCATAATCAACCTGTTGCTGAGGATGCTGGGTTCACTGGTAATTATAGAAACCTTACTCATTCTGGTAAGAAAACCTCGCTGTCTCCAATAAGCTGCCTGAACTCGTCATGCTTCGTTCAGAAGCACAGGTGGCTTCTTGGTAATTAACCAGCATTCGAATGATGATGAAGAACATCAGCTCTTTGTCCAGTTCTCCCATCCAGATGTCTGCATTGTGTGCATCTGGATGATCGGCTGAGCTTTGGTTTACTCTTCAAATGTGCCCAAGCCCTGACCTTCCCTTCTGCCCCAGAGCCAGCTGCAACCTTCATAATCAAGTTGGGTTTGTGGAAGCTGCTGGCAGCCCTATCAGAGGGCATGAGTCAACAGTGAGGGACTGAGAGCTGGTAGGGGAAGGAAGAGGCAGTTTCCTCACCCTCCGTGGGCTGAGCAGCACCCTGGAGCTTCAGGCTAAGGAAGACAGAATTAACAAAGGGGGAAAGCAGGTTGGAGAACATGTACTGATGGGTGATAGAGAACTCTGGGTGTGATGCCAGAAACGACAACATTTTTGTCTTCTTTCCCCCTTATTCAGGAGTCAAGGGAGATCAGCAATACTTTATTCTGTTTTCTAGGCCTTCCAAAAATAACAGAGACACCAATGATGATTTTGTCCTGCAGATGTGGCAGAGAGGGGAATGGGTAATTCCCAGAGCAGGCTTCAGGCAGTGGAACGGCCACGTGGGCCAAGCCCCATGGGATAGGCTGGGTTGAGATGTATGTTACTCAGTTACAGAGGGAGTTCTTGAGATCTGCCAGGAGGACTGAGAGGAATGATAGTGACAAGTCTCTATCAGGCAGTGCTTTGGATCCCTGATGGCAAAGGAATGATAGATTGGCTCGACTGGGGCCAGGTCGGTCAGTCAGTCCACAGAGGGGGAAGATGCAGCTGCTGAGGCAAAGGAGAGGTCAAGGACCTGGGAACTGGAGTCCTTGGTTCATAATCCTAGTCAGGAGCCACTTACCACTTGGCCATCAGAGTCCCCTGCCATGCCTGGAACTCTGGCAGCCTCTTTCTGGCTGGTACTCTCCCGGGAGTACCCTGCCCACATACTTCTTTTTGATGAGGGCTGACAGCAAACAATGTGGAACTGCATAGCCCCTGGTATGAGTAGACAGTGGTCAAAACACCTGCTCTGGAGTTGGACAGCCTGGGTTTAAACCCCTAACTAGCTGTGTGAATATAAACAAGTTACTTAACCTCTCTGTGCCTCACTGAGGATGACATGAGTTAGTAAGTAGAGCGGGCCTGGCACAATGCCTGATACACAGTCAGCACGCAGTAGGCTGTGTTATTGCTACTCAGCAATAAAATCACCCATTCGTGGAGGATTCCATTTGTAGCAATGTGGAGGCTAAAAATATCAAGAAACAGACAGCAGAGATGTCCAGGCTGGGGAGGGAAGGGGTCTTGCCCAAAGCCATGCAGCCCATTAGATGCAAAGTCTATGGCAAACCTAAAGCCAGCTGTGGAGTCAAGAGGCCAAGACTAGGTTTTGGTCATCAGAATCAATCCTGCAATGCCTTTAGCCTGTGGTGGGCTTGAGCAAAAGGCCTGTTGTCAGAGAATCAGACCCCTGAGGTAAAGGGGCTGTCAAGGGCCACCTTTCCAGGCCCAGATGAAACCTGAGAGGCTGGGACGGTTCAGGCTGGGGCAGAAGTGCTGCCGCTTCCAAACCAAGCTGAAGATCCAGGCTGCATGCAAGACATCCTGAAACCATATGCACATATGAATAATAAAAGAAAAATGAAAAAAAAAAAAACAAGAAAATTTAAGGAGACATAGCTCATGTTCAGATGGTCATATTTATAATAAAGGACAATTTAAATTCAGCAAAAAAAAAAAAAGACATCCTGAAACCAGGCAGGAGCAGACAAGGGCAGGAAAGAGATGCTGCAGCCTTTACCTTCACCACCCCATCAGTTTGGAGAGGAGGGGAGCCTGACCCGGAAAATGAGACCCTGGTGGGCTGGGCCCCATGTGCTGTATCACCCTCCACAAGGATCCCCATTCCTCTGTGTCTTCTTGCTGACAATGTGAGAGACACAAATGAGTCTTCACCAGACCACTTCCATAGAATTTGGGAAATACTGAGTGAATAGGTGGAGTAAGTGAATTGATTGGTGAGTAAATGTACAGATGTGGTCCAGGTTAGCTTGGGAGAGGAAGGGATGGAGGGATAGAAGGGGTAGGTAGGTAGATGGATGAAAGGATGATGAATAGATATACGTGGGGTAGGTGAAGGTGTGAGTGGGATGAGCACATGTGGTGGTGGGAGGGATGAAAAGGTGGCTGGATGGGAGAAGGGGTGAACACATGGGCAAGAGGGTAGATGAGAATGAGTTGATAGACATCTCAGGACAGGACTGATACCTCTTCTTGTGGCCATTAAGAAGGAGGAGTTGGTCCCAGATCCAGTCCCATGGCCAACACATGTGCTCTGTTGGTGCCTCTGGCTTCCTGAGCTGGTCTGTTTTGCTCCCACCCTCAGTCATGCAGGCTGCATTCATCCATCCAGAGCCCTTCCAATTTACTGGTGCCTCTTATTCTTTAAAAAGCAAACAAATGAACAAAAAGCTAGATGAGCATTTGCAGGAGTGGGTCATACGTGTGTCATTTACATGGATTCATAGACTTTGGTTAATTACCTAGTGCAGCCTCCTCACTTTTCTCTGAGGGAGAAAAGTCACCCCTTGGGTTACTGAAGATCAAATCCAGATCAGGTGGTGTTTAAAAATTTTGGTTTCAATAGACCAGGGCTCAAATCCCAGCTCTTGAACTTACCATCTATGTGACCCTGAGCCAGTTACTTCATTTCTCTGAGCCTCTGTTTTCCAGTCTGTAAAATGAAACTATCATTAACTATAATTGTAATACTCACTTACCTGGGCTCAGTATGACAACTTACCCTACACTGTATGACACCCTCACAAAGGTGATTATCACATGCCCAATTCATCAGTAAGGGTGCTGAAGCTGAGACCAGTTAAAGAGTCCAAGAACAGATAAGAGGCAAAGCCAGGACTGGAACAATCTAGAGCCTATACAGGTCCCCACCACTCTGTGCTCAGCTCACCAGGTGCCCTCTGCCTGGATGCTGGTGGCTCATTGCAGTGAGGGCTAGAGAATGTTAATGTTGGTGGAGTGTCCAGCGTGGTGCTCAGCAATGCTCATTCCATGCCAGTTTTTACTCCCATTGCCTCCATTATTCTTTCTGAGCCTTACCCTCCACGCCACCCATTATCATGCTTGACCCTCTACATCCCTTTTCAATGATCAAGCCAGTCAAACAGGATCACTCCAATCCTACAGCTAACAAAATAAGTTGTAGAAACATCAGGTTGTTCCTGATCAACAAATGGCAGAGTGGGGCTCAGAGAATTCCAGAGAAGTGCACCAAGGGGGAGAGGGAAAAGGCTATTCCAGGCAGCCCCCAAAGACCCACAGACATGGAGAAGCACAGTCTGTGGCTTAGGCAGCTCTGTAGGGCCAGAATAGTGAGAGATGAGGCCAGAGAGCTGGGGTAGGAAGCTCGGTGGTAACTTCCTCCTCACTGCACTTAGAAGAATCCCCTCGGGCACAGGTGTGGGGGTGGTGCAAGGGCCAAGGGGGCAGGTAGGGCAAGT